TCGTTAAAAACGACGATGAAAAGTGGAAGGAAGGTCTCACGAGTTCTGGTAGATCGCTATATACATAATCAATTCTTATGTATAGATATAAAATAAACTGACCGGCGATAAATTTTAATATTTTTTTCTTACAGATGATTTTTGGGGCTGATTTTAAAAATAAACGATACATATAACTTGTTTTTATAATTTAAAACTATATATTATGTTAATTCATCGTAACAGTTAACTCCATCTTGCCAGCCGCCTTGCGCAGATCGTCGCTCCATCTAGCTAGTGGACGTCAACACTGCGTCTAGACGCGGTCTCGACTCTATGACACGTCTACTTCAACGGTTATCGCTTTTGCGACAGATGTGACCAACCCACTGCCACTTCAGCTTGCAAATACAGAAGGCTATGTCCGTGACCTTTGTCCTTCGGCGGATTTCTTTGTTACGGATCTTATCTGCCAGAGAAACTCTAAGTATAGATAGCTCTTTCCATCAAGCGGTGGACAACCTTGAGTTTGTGAAGTAGTCGCGGCGTTTGTGTCCACGTTTCGGCACCATATTTGAGTACAGGCAGGACGTACGGGTCAGAGACTTACTTCTTCAAGCATTGCGGTATAGGTGACGAAAAGACCTGGCGAAGCTTTCCGCATGCTGCCCGGCCCCACTGAATCCAAATATCGGTTTCTTTCTCGAAGTTGTTACTATCCAACTGCACTATTTGACCGAGATAGATATACTCTTGAACAACTTCAAGAATCTCATCATCAACGATAATCCAATCTGGTGTGACATGAACGTTAAACATGACTTCCGTCTTATTTCAATTCGTGTGCAGTCCAACATGTTGGGATGATTCATTTAGACTGTTCACCTAGTCTTATAGTTTCTGCAGCAATACCGCAATGAGAAATATATCACCAGCAAAGAGTAGGTAAGTGTAGATGTTTTCGCAGTTTACATTGATGCCGCGTCCATTCCAGTTTAGTGACATAAAAACATCTTCCCATGCATATGTGCATGTTTGGTCTGATTTTTTTGTTTTGTTTGAGTTTCGAGGATGTCGTGTCCCTCTATCTCACTCCACAATGAAATAAATGGATTTTGTAAGACCAACCTGTACTTGGGTCTAGCTGGTGGTGTTTAGATGTCAATCCGGCAACGCTGCAAGGAATTCATAACGGTATATAATTGTATATGCACTTAATTTGGAATATTTTAGTTATTATTTACAACTTAATGTATATATTTGTTAATTTGTCATCTGGGTTGCGTTATTTGATAATTGATAGAACCAGGCGTTACCTTGCGGAAATCCATTATAATAAAGATATTAATTGTTACTTTGCAACCTTTCGCTCAATTAAATGATGTGTCTTACCTAGTTTGAAGAGCACCTACCGCCCCCCCCCCCCTGTCGGCTGACTGCTAAGTGAAGCTGGTATTAGTGGTCAGCCGCCGTAGAGTCTATATCACCTGAAGATGCCTCGTGTAGAGGCGAAACACGTGTCTTATTATCGTCGATGGTGTGTCTTTCCTAGAATAGTGGTGTTGGAAGTAGTGGTTTGGGAGCAGTGGTGCTGGGATTAGTGGTGACCGGATTAGTGTACGCAATTGAGCGAGGGCTGGAGGTGCTCTTCAAACTAGGTAAGACGGAAGGTTGCAAAGTAACTACTAATATTTTTATTGCGTTATTTGGTAATAAGTTACTGTCTCGTATTAACTGGCTGAGCTAATTTGGTCGATTTCAGATAAAGTTGTAGAGATTATGTAGCGGCGCTGTCGTAGTGCCACAAGCGAAACAAACAGAAGCCTAAATCGCGCTATCAACATTCCGAATCATAAACAGTATATATAGAAAATCTCCGAACTACCACAGGGAGTGTTGGCCGCTCCCCGGGCAGAACACCTTGCCCGGCGGGAGATCTCCCCTTTCCTTCCACGGCTACAATTATAAAAAAAATATATCTTTGCCTCTAATAAACAAGCAAATAATTAATACAATTCTTCGCAATTCAAGTATTGGCGGCCATTTGTGCAGCCATTACCGACTTTCCGTCGATAAGGTTTATTGCGGTACGATATGGTTAGTTTGAGCTCCTCGCACGTTATAAATTATTATAAATATGAAAGTGAAAAGTCTGTAAGTCCAATTTTACGCAAATTTGACGCGAACTATAATTGAAGTTACTGAATTGTTGGCAAGTATTGTACACTAGCGCTCTACCGCCGCGTTATAGCGATGTTTATGAAAGAGCTGCAATTGAGCAGTCATTGTTATTCTAAACACATGAGAGTTAAATACTCAAAAGCCATTTGTTGAAAGTACACATCCAAATTACGTTTGAGGTCAGTGCAATAAAGTGCAGTATTATTTTTAATCTATAAGCGTATTTATTTACGGATCATATTGAATTCGTACACGTAGTCGTCTTTGCTTATAAGAAATTTTGTATTTCTTCTTCCGCGCATTCAATATTTTTGATTATTTCTTTTATAATAGTTCAGTTAAACAGTTCACTTTGATTGCGACAGAGTGTTAACTCGGTATTGCCATTTTAATTGATTCAACGTCCCAGCTCAGAAAATAGATTGGATATCGTAAAATTAGTTGTTACTTATGCGTATAGACTTAATACTACTAGATTGTCTCGGTGGTTGAACTCGGTAGGCTAGGAGTCTATCTGAGTAGGTAATCACACTTTTACGTATTTCTTCCGCTAACCAGGAATGCCTCTACTGCTATGTTTAGGTCTGATGGGTATAAAGAGTCGGTACAATTACAGGCTGCGACATATTCTGTCTTATTCTTCAGTGGTGACAACGCTCTTAGTTTAAACCTGGTTGCAGGTGTCTATGAGCTGACGTAGCCAATTACAATTAAATAGGCTCTAAGTTGATTTATCAATTTAGTTTTATTTAAAAAAAACATTTTAGGTTTAAGGTACTTATGATGATTGTTAGTTATCAGAGGCCAAACAAAATATTTTTATGGAACTTTTTTTAACTTGTGATATCCAGAGCAAATTGGGTAAAGCGCTCTCATGTCTTAAGCATGGAATAAACTACATTATTAATAAATTATGTTGTTTTATGTCATGCAATTTGAGGCTTCATAAATAATGTTAACAATTGTTTGGCATTTTAAAACAATATGAAATAATAGTAGGTATTAAGTTTATAAAATATATTTCTTATTATTAGGATATTACACGTAGAGGCTGTTTGTTATTTAAATAAAAATAAATTAATAATTGGCGAGAGTAGTTCACGACGGGAACATTATGATAGGTATTTATTTCTTTGTAATAGAAGTAAATTAAATAAATTTATTCTCACCTCAATCCCATACTAACATTTAATCTGATCGTTTTTGTGCAATCAATATCTTAAATACTTTACACAAACATTACATTTTAACAATTTAGCCAACCATTGTGCTGAAGCCATAAAAGGTACACTGCAGGGTGGATCTAACGTATAAAATCATTTTGTGATTTATTCCATTTTATTTATAGTTTAGTAGAAATTTTACGTTATATTTGTTTTAATTCTTACTAAAAATAAAAATTAAACTTAGTTATAATTTAACGCGATAAAATCGGTAACATTAGTTTTATTCAATGTCTACCTAGTATTCGCATAAATATAGAAAAATAATTATTAAAGATTTTATTGTAAAGATTTCGAAGTAGTAACAACACGAAACTTTAAAAAGGAAAGTCACAGTCCTACAACCGGGCACAGACCCATTTTTCACTAAACACTAAACTTTAAGAATAATAAGAAATTGAATGAATTTTAAGAATAATAAATTGATATGGGCCGTGATAGCTCATAGAATACCCGGATTCGATGCTTCGTTAATACACATTCGGACAGCGCAGTACAATTCCTTGCCCTAAAATTCTTTCAGAAAGTTGCCATCGCACTAAGCAATCCATTATATATTATATTATAATATGTATTACTTGTACAGATTACCTCTTAAACTTGCACAAATTATTGTGAGATACATTGTGTTTTCATGCGATGGCCTAGTCAATCTATATATTTAAAACATAAAAGATTTTTAACATTGATATGGTCACTATAAAATGTTGTTAGGTTAGCTAATTACGTAATAACTTAAAACAGAAGGATCCTTAAGTAGGGACTGAATAAATTAACCGACTTGGTATTACATGGATTTCACAACTTTTTACGGTAGAAGAACTAAGTTGCGAGACTTGGTTTTTTGACAAGTTATGTTTTTGATGGCATTTATTGTTCTTAAAATGAGTTTAGTGTTTAGTGATCTACTTCTTAATCTTGAATGCCATTATTTTACATTTTAAAAAAAACTTTAAACCAGGTAAAACTCGTTCTTGCGGTGCATTCGTGCAAATCGACGTCATAACAATTTACACGAGTAAATATTTCAATGGGATCGACTCACCGTTTAACGAGTGCCTTTTCAGTGCCGCGGCGAGTCGTTTAGCGAATTTCAATAGTTATCGCGCGGAGAAAAACTCGCCAGTGGAAAGGGACCGGCGAGGAGCGAGCGAGAGCGACGGCACAAGAAAAGAAGTAATAAAAAAGCGGTCGTGTGTGCGTGGTCGGTGTGGTGGCGTAGGGCGGTGATGCAGGCCCCTCCCTGTGGCTCGTCGACGCCTCGCCGCCTCAGTCGACTCTACATCGCGTGGCACCTCACCGGTCCGCTGCTGCTTCAATCGCGCGCGTAAAAAGTTTTCCCACTATTCCGAAACTTCCGATCGCTTTGACAAAACAACTCTGAATAACGTTACGGAGTTTTCGGTTTTCTTAAAAAAAAAAACTGTACGATCGATTGATTGTGTTTTATTTTTAAAATAATTTATGTGATTTACAAAATACTTTTTTGTTCTGTCAAAAACTCTTTCCCATTGACAGATTTTTATCGACTTTTATTTAGTAAAGTAGTGGAGTAAATTTACCATCGCGATATTTTACATTAGATCAAGTTCCAGACTATGTACAGCTGTGACATCGATGGGAGGTTTGGACGGTGACGGCTTTTGGACAGGCGGCAGGCTGGGCTCAGAGGCGGTTAACTTAATGCTGCTGCAAGGCGAGGGCCGGGAGCGGGCAGGGTCCGCAATGGATGATGACTGCTCTGTGCGGCCCTGCGCCACTGATTTCTCTATCGCAGCTATCATGGCAAGAGACCGGCAGGAGAGGCGGGAAAGGCGGAGACACAGAGACCCGAGAGAGGACACACTTACACCATTAGGTTGGTATTAAATGTCTACAGTTCCTATTATTATAATATCATTATTGTATTTCAAATTTGGTAAACAATGAATTAACTGCATACCTACCTCGATATCTTAAAATATAATAATTGATCAAAGCTAACATTAGTAAAATATGAAATACCTTTGAAGCCTACTTAATGTATACACGCAAGAATATCTCTTGATTATTTAAAATAAATGTAAAAACAAAAGATAGCTTCGATTACTGTCGATTCCATCGATCTCTTTAAAAATTAGTTTTAACATATTTTATGACTTTAATATTTCGAAAAAGTGTAATTGCAGTAGGTTCCTGCGTACAATTATTATCTTAGGGCTCACATCATCATCACACATCTATATACCTTGAATATGTAGTGTCCTAAAACAAAAATTGTGTAGTATGTATTTATAAAAAGTACTAATTTTGAATAAAATACACAAAATGAGAGTAATCAATAAAATATTCTAGCACATATAATGCAGTTAAAACTAAAGCCATAAACATTATGTTTTTTAAAATGTCTAACCTCACAAAGAGGCTGAAATGCGTAATAGTAAATTAAAATGTAACAGGCCATCAATTATTACAGGAATTCAATTTAGGCTTTATTCAAAAACAAATTTTTTTTGGGCCTCATTGCTTGAACTAGGTTTAGAAATGTTTGATGTATTCTGTTCTATTCACACTTTGCAAGATTAAATTAACTTAACGCTGACATAGATTTTTTATGTGAAAAAATCTTGTAGTCATGAAAACCTACTGCGATACTACGCATGAGCGGTATTTCCTTTTCACAGCTTAATCACAAAGCGCCAACATGTTTCTACAATTATTACTTAGTTGAATATGAATATTTATTATACCCAAAGCCTTCCGTAAATATTTAATTTATTAATTAGAATAACCAATAAGAAATAGAAACATATAAGAAATATTAAATGTTTTCTTATTTTTAAGTTATCACACCATGTATCATAGACTAGCTAACTCTATTAATAAACAAATATTTATGAATTATATAAAGTAAAAACCGCAAAATTCATTTTAAAGTTTTATGCAAATACACAGACAGTTATAAACGATTTTGTTTAATACTACCTTACTCTTAAATTTTTTTTTAGTAAAGAATATTAACAATGCTATAAACGTTACTAATATTCCCCTTAACCACTCGTGGTAAGTCGAATGGCGGATTCGAACCCACGATCTTTTTGAATTCGCGGGCCGCGCCCTGCCATTAGGCTATTGTCGCTTCAATATTAATTATTACGTTCAATCATCAATATTTTATCATTACGTTCATCAAGTCAATATAAATATTTGTAAATTTAACTATCAAATATATTTAATAATGCGGGGCAGAGGATCATATCGAGGGTGTCATTAACGTCAACTAATAAAAATATCAGAATTATTTTTATTTCTATTTATAGAATAAGGGTGACAAGCGAGCACACAGTCCACCTGATGGTAAGTGGATACTGCCGGCCATAGACATCTACATCTACCCTCGATTAAGGATCAAAGTACAGATGCATTATCACCCCTGAAAAGTAAGTTGGAATGCCTCGTATCCAGTGCAAAGGGTCTTCGTTTCTCTACACTCACCATACGAGACACAGTAGTATTAAGCTGCTAATGTAGTTTGTGCGAGTTTGGTCCTACGCCGGTGGAGCCGACACATTTGTGCTGCAGCTACCATAACCACGTAGTTAATTTAATATCCAGCAGTAGGAAGTGGAATAGCCATCTCGGAAATTACAAGATTCAAGGGAATTAAGTCACAGTTAGAATCGCTAATTCATTCGTTATAATGCAAAAATTACAAGTTGCAAAAGATCCATATTCAGTACCGAGCTTTTAAACCTTCAAGCGCCGTAAAAATCCCATGTTATACATGCGCCCGCCAAATCCCGAGCAGTCTAATGCGACCGAACTCACCCACAGAATTTAAAACCATTAAAATTTATATTTAGAGACTACTTTTCTATGAAGAAGTTTAGCATTATAAAATCTATACAAAATTTTCTATATTATGGTCTAAAAAAGTCAGATTTTACTTCATTACAAAAAGATTTTATTGTATTTTGATAACAAAAAAAAAAAAAACATACCAAGCGAATGTCGGCAGCGTGAAAATCACAATTATTTCAATATATATTACTCGAAATTATTTACGTAAAAAGATAAATTATACTCACACAAAAGTTTTATTACAATTTTATAATAAAAAACTATACTAAAACACTGGAAAATCCAAAAATCAACACAATAACATTCACGCGAAAATGGCGTACGAAATGAACGTAGATTATAAATAAATATTCATAGGATAACTGTTTTTTTATTGCACTAGAAGATAGATAGATTATTTCATATTGATTGTATAATACCACATTTCTTCTTAGAAAAGTAGTCTCTATATATAAGTTTTTATAGGTTATGCTGGGGGTGGCTGCGACCTCATGAGACCGCTAGGGGGTTGAGAAGTTAAGCTGATAAAGTGACGATAATGTCTATCAATATTGATTTAACGACATCACTCGATATTCCAATATCAGTTAAAAACTACTAATGTTGTGAAACAGAGTTTTTATTAAATTCCTATAAACTTTTGCGAAGTAACGTAATAAAGACAATTACTTAATAAAACTTAATATTTTAAATAATTTAATGTGTAGCATCACAATACAAAAAAATTTACCTGTCTATCTGTTTACCGTGTAGTGGCGTGTAAGAGGATGTAAGAGTTTGTAATAGGAAACTTTTTTATAAAGTAAGGGTAACAAACGAGCACACAATCCACCTAATGGTAAGTGGATGCTGTGGTCCATAGACCTCTACATTTAACCTCGATTAAGAATCAAAACGCAGATGCATTGTCATTCCTGAGTACTAAGATGGAATGCTTCGTTTCCAGTAAAAAAGCGTCTCCGGATCTCTACACTCACCATACGAAACACAGAAGTATTAAGTTGCTATTTTACGCTGGTATTCTGTGAGAGCGTGGTCCTTCCCCGGTCGAGCCGACCCATTCGTGCTACAACCATAATATAGCTGCAGCGTGGTTCTACCACGTATAAAAAAATAACAGGAGATGGACAGCGTCTCATTCGGTATTTCGGACGCGTTAGTATAAGACCGTGGTTGATCTGAGAGTGACTTTATTTTCTACTCCACATAACTTAAAATATAAATATTCAAACCTCCTACCTACAGGCAGCAGCATCTTCTTCATAACAACTAAAAACCATAAAAATGGTGGTTGCCAATCCGCCTGCCAAGCGTGGCAACTATGGTAAAATGAGGCAATTTTTTTTGTGCCCGAAGCAATTATGGGCAACCCTCCGGAAAGCGGGGGAGGGAGGTTGAGAATGCTCATAGCATACCACGCAGCCGGCTGCGTGGTTATGTGGAGACTTTTACCCACTAAACTCAACCTTTTGGGAATTGGCTTAACGATCTGACTAGAGATCTCTAAGCCGTATACGAACGCGACCCTCCTTGGCAAAAAGGAGGGCGCTAGCAGAAAGGAGGGCGCTATCATGAGGCAATCTATGTTCAGCAGCTTATAAAGCCTGTAATGGATAGATGGATGAATGGACCTGTCTAGAGCTTTGGTCTATCCCAAGATAGGGTCAATATTTTTCCTAAGACAAAGCCTTTTTCAATTTCTATCGTGAATATAATAGTGAAATAACATACATAAACATAAACACTCACGCCTGTCACCCAGAGGGGTAGGCAGAGACTACAGACTTCCATTTAGCACGATCCTGACATACCTCTCTCGCCTCTTCCACATCCATATACCTACGCATACATGCTCGTCGGTTAAGGGTACTCTTAATTTGGCCCATTTTTAGTATGTCGCCAATTTGGTCGACAAACGTCCGCCTAGGACGTCCCTTTCCGACTCTTCCATTCACTTCTGCAACATATATTTGCTTTGTCAGTCTTATCGTAGTGAAATAACATTTATAATTATGGCGAATATACGGACAGATTAGTTTTTTGAAATTTGTAACCAAAACCCTTGCAAATCAGTTCTTGATATACAAGGGATTTGAACATTTAGTAAAAAAGGTAAAATAAAAACAATCTTTTGGATTAAATGCGATTATAGAACATATACTTTTAAAATTTTGCGTAGGTCAACATTGTTTTACCTTTACAAAATTTTAAATACTGTCGTGCCTAGCTCGAAGTGTTTTGGATTTGTAAAGCGTACCTAATTTAGAATTTTGTAAAATATCTTATTTGTGTTCTTAATTTGTATTCATGTCCCATAATTAAAGTCGTTTTTACTTTTAATAGATTACTGGACAATTTGAATTTACTGTTTTTTTTTTAATTATTTTGTTTTTTTCATATCTTAAAAAGCTAATTAAATGTAATAATTACAATTAGCCATGATAAATAGTATAGTTATAGTATAGTTTAAATCTAGTAAGAGAATTTATAAATATATTCATAAATTTAAGGTTACGCGCATGAACGATTTATATATTTTACAGGGAAAAATTCATCCATCTGGATATAGGTTTCCTAAACCACCCAAAACCAAGACCCAAATTATAATAGATTTAATTCTTTAGATTCAACAAAATAAATTTATAAAATTAGTTATTTAAAAGATTTTATTTCAAAAGGTTTAATTAGTTGGCTCACATATTCATTCGCGGTTCTACGAGTATGTGAATGCCACGCCTAATTTTATCAATAACTATTATTCTTAATAAATTAACTGTTTTTTTTTCCTATGATATATTTAATAAATCTCATTGCACCTTAAAGCTATAAGAATAATTTTTAGTGGAGACCATTTTGCACAAATACAAATAAAATTATCTGTATAATATTGATAGTAGTCTCTACACTATAATCACCCACTTTTAGCTACTTATTTTAAGTTGAGGAAAAGTTTTTAAATTCTTAAGTTTTTAAAAGTTCTCTGCCTAGAGTCCGTTTGGGTACGTACCAACCTCTGAAGAGCACAGAATGCAAGTATAATTACACAGAATACCAGCATAAAATAGCAGCGTAATGCTGCTGTGTTTCGTATGGTGAGTGTAGAGAACCTGTGACCCGTTTTACTGGAATCGAGGCATTCCATATTAATCATCACGGATGACAACGCATCTGCATTTTGATTCGTAATCGAGTATAGATATAGATGTCTATGGGCCGCAGCAACCACTTACCATCAGGTGGACTGTGTGCTCGTTTGTTACCCAATCCTATTAAAAAAATTCCATCTTACTGTTCAGTAGTGATGAAATATCCGTAGCCTTCTCTGCTTAAATTTGATTGCAGGTGTCTATAGGCTACGGTAGTCAATTACCATCAGAGAACTGTCAGGTTTTGTGTTGTTCGTCATTTCAATTTTATATAAAAAGTTAGAACATAGATTTCATAAGTAATTAGCAAACGTCCATAACAATTCCCTACTATACAATATCAGCGTAGTGGCGTCACCCTGTAGTGGTAGTGTAAGAATATCCGCTACACCATATCATCCCGTGGGAGTCGCAAGAGGTGACTGCCTGTGAACTGTAAAGGTGATTGTAGACTACTTTATTATTGTATCTAAATAATATCGTAGAGCATATTGTTAACTTTATACTTCGTGATCGATTTAATATTTTTCAGTTCTTCTTCACACAGTTTTAAATGGTGACGAGATAACCGTGATCCCGAACGGAAAAAATGAGGATGGCATTATGTAAGAAAAGTCAACTCCCGACTTAACTTTTAAGTGATGCCAGTAATCTCAAAAATCTAAAAATTAGAGTTACCGTGTAGTGGCGGGGACAGGTAGAAACAATCTTCACGTGGTAGAGCCATGCTGCAGTTATATTAGTAGTATAGTTGTAGCACGAATGGGTCGGCTCGACCGGGGAAGGACCACGCTCTCACAGAATACCAGTGTCAAATAGCAGCTCAACGCTGCTGTGTTTCGTATGGTGAGTGTAGAGAACCGGAGACCCATTTTACTGGAATTGAGGCATTTCATATTAGCCCTCAGGGATAACGTCCATAAGGCCACATTATTTATTTTCCGCGAGGTGGACTGTGTCTCACTTGTCAGTCCTACTTATATGAAAATAGTCTAAAATGAAAATAGAACGTCAAGAGTCAGTTATGATCACTGGTTTTCAACCCTTGGCAGACTTACAATGAGCATTTCAAAAGTGGCGTAGCATGAATTGCAGCCGCCTGGGGCTCCAAAAATTTCGCAAATCCCTTGAAAATATAAAACCATTAAAAGTTTTCTATAGTCTTTGTACCTATATTATTTTAAAACTATTAGAACAATAATATAATATATTTTTATACTTATATTAAATTTATATTACTAAATATTATATAATTATACTAATAAATATATAATATTTAGTATAATTATATACTTACACCCTACCCACAGTGCAATTCATAATGGTAGTCTCGTTATGTTTTATTCCATGAATAGCTTTCAGTGATAAAAAATAATTTATAGATTTTTGAGATTACTGGCACCACTAAAAAGTTAGGTCGAGGAACTCCCGAAAATCAACACTTTTCTTGCCACCCTCATTTGTTTCCGTTGGGGATCATGGCCCTCCTGTTCTCAGCACAGATTTGAAACTGCGTGTAGAGGATCTGAAAATTATATATTAAATTGATCACGGGAAATTCAGTTTACAATATGATCTACGACATTATTTATAATACTAAAGTAGCCTGCAGAAGTGGTAGTGTCTAACAGTACCACCATGGAAAGTGGCTGCTGAAACCCTTCGACGCCTGTAACTCTCTTCAAAACATAGCGACGTCACCCGTCTGTACTATAATAAAATGTCTCAGTTTGCCTTTTTTTATGCAATTAAGAATGACATACAACCACGCAGTCCACCAGACGACACTATCTATATAAATAAATATATTTATTTGTGTGTATGTTGTGGACTACAAACAAGGTGACAAACGAGCACACAGTCTACCTGATGGTAAATTTTTGCTGTGGCCCATAGACATTTACATCTATCCTCGATTAATAATCTAAATAAAGAAGACTAAGATGGAATGCTTCGTTTCCAGTAAAAAGGGTCACCGGTTCTCTACACTCACCATACAAAACACAGCAGCGTTAAGCTGCTATTTTACGATGGTATTCTGTGAGAGTCAAATATGGTAAATGGTATAATACGGGTTATGTCGGATTTGCATTCACAAAATCTCATGATGTTCCATCTTCGCCGCATGTTGGCAGAGCCAGAGCGCTTTCGCACACATCCGCAGCCCCACCACCACCGGTTGCCCTACGGCAGGCAGCGTCTCTTCGGTGGAGGACTTTTCCTTCTTAGTTAAGACCCACCAGGAACACAAAGCGCGTCTTTCTCGCGTATGGTTCTCCCCCTTGGTTCAGCCCACGAACACACATTCGAAATGGGCTCGCCGAACCCACTCTTAGTGGCCATCTCAGGCCAGCCCTTGATTCCTCTTTGTTCACCACAGGTGACCAAACTACGGCTACTAAGCACCCTCGCCACAACAAGACGGGAACCCTCTTGAGGAGGGAACTATAGTCACCTACATTTTATAGATATCAATTAAAATTCAAAATGGGGACAGGTTGTTACCAACATGTAATCCCTCATTAGCGATGAAGGTTTCTAATTCTCATACAAAGTGTCTGTATCCGGTTTGAGGCAGTTATGGGGACAGGTTGTTACCAAGATGTAATCCCTCATTAGCGATGAAGGTTTCTAATTCTCATCACCAAGTGAAACTATCCTGGTATTTTTCGCTGGCATTCTGTTTGAGCGGCCATGACATAACCCGGTAGAGCCGATAATAGTGAAAAACCTAGTCTTAGGTTTTTCACTATTAAAAATATTTTACCTAAGTACAAATTTCATTTTATACTGGCAATAAAAGAAGACATGAAAAACCAATGCTTTTCCTTAAAATAAAATGTAAAGCGAATTACTGTACTTTTTTTGCGAATTACGTTACTGTAATTAAACTGCACACGGTGTGCAAATTTGATTAAAATTGGTTAAGTAGTTTAGGAGTCCATCGCGGACAAACAACGTGACACGTAATTTATTAAGATAACAAACCGGTTGAATAAAAATAAAATGAAACTATATATGTTACCCCTATAATTTCATTCTATTTCAAGTATAACCATATGTTAAACTTTCAGAAAAGTTTGTGGACGCAACAGCGTCAGCATCGGGGTCGCCGTCACCGCCACTAGCAGAATACGAACGAGACTCTCCCGTGGACGTATCCTCAACTTCAGAAGCTGGTTCGGCCAGTGGAGCCCCCAGCGGCTCCCGCGCTCTATCACCTTCACCTCGCAACCCACAATTGATAGAGCGCTGGTCCAGTGAAGAAATGAAGCACATACAATGCCACCTTGAAACCAAAGAACTATGGGACAAATTCAACGAACTGGGCACCGAGATGATCATCACAAAAACCGGAAGGTAATTTAAGTTTCACTTAATTTAATACAAGAAACGAAACCAATTGTGAGCTATAAACCGCACTGACGTCCCGCTAACGCGAAACATAGCCGTCGAATCGAATCACTTATTAGCTCTCGTACATACCGAGTGCAGTGTGAAATTAAAAACTGTTCGTGGTAGGTAAGCAATTGTTGGTTAACGAGATCAAGGTAATATCGAAGGAGCGTTGACGATAAGGTAGGTGGTAGAGTACGCGGCGGCGCGAGGCGTGTCGGTCGCGGCTCGCGGCAGAACAATGGCCAATCTACCGCCGCGCCGAGCTCTGCTACCGTCGCCACCAACCGCGCGGTTTTGCTTTTGAAAATGTTCATCCAGTTACCGTGATTCGAAATTCGAATCGATTGATCGTTGAACGTACGTGATTTTTTATTATTTTACCTTTTTTTCAAATTACGTAAACTACTGAACAGTTTTCAAAAAATCTTTATTAGGCTCCTGTATAAAAGCAATTGTATTAGCATAGTTTTAGCGTTATCGCTGCCAACGTAAATCACGATAACAGCTCGCCAGTCGTGACAAATCCGCTAATACAGTCTTATGATTACTATTTTCACGTCATTAAATATAACTGTGAAGATTTTTAAGTTTGGTTTTAACTTCCAAACTGTTGGGCAACGCAAACATTTGGATAAATATAAAACAATGCGTTTGTGCATATTACACGCAATGTTAACCTTGATTTACAATTAAAACTAACAGTCTTATTAATTGTAAAGTTAGTAAAATTACTATGGATTTAGAAAGTCAAATAGTTGTAATATTGACTGTGGCGTCGTTGACTCCATGAGACAGACCCATAGTAGCCAACTGCAATCTCTTATTATAATAATCAAATAGGAAACCAAAAATGCTTCCTTGTCTGGTATGGTACATATGACCAGTATTCCTTATATAGAGTGATCTAAAATCTGAGATTAAAAACTCTAAAAATCTAAAATTTTCATTGTAAGTTAAAACGTTATGTAAAACTATTTTTGGTAAAAATGTAAAATTTAAGCCATGAAAGTTCTTACGACATGCTTAATTAAAAGTTTTGACAACTTATGATATGTTTAACTTTCATATCATCTCTATTATTCGGGGTACATTCTCTGGAGTAACAACGCATCTGTTTTTGCTTCTTATTCGAGGATGGAAAAAGGAGTTTTTGGCTTTACATCTTAGAGTTACTTTCAAGTAGACTGTATGTTTATAAGTCACCTCTACTTGTATAAAAAGGTAGGTACCTTTTTTTTCTTTTTCAGCCTATGAAAGTCTCCTCCTTTTGAAGAGAGTTGATCTTCACGTTAGGCAGAAAGATTGGCGATCATAGTACCTGACGTTTTGTTCCTATGACTGCTATTTATCGGCAGTCTGGGTATTTTACGCTAGGCGTAAACGAGATGGTTATAAAATACCATAAGATCTTTTCTGCATTCCTATATTCGCCCATGTACTACATATAGGTCATTGCTATTGTATCTGAAAACCGGACAGTGAAATTATTACATAAGTATAGTATTTTATTTGTCTTTTGTTCCATCTGTCGAAAGCTTATGTATTTGATTGGTATATCCTTTATCCATCTTTTAAAAATGGAACCAAAAATATATTCTTGCTTTTATATCGTCACGCATCGATGACGGAAATATCTCTCTAATAAAGTTTAAGCTATTGGAATATGTAAACGATTTCATAAATACACTTAAACTTTTAATGCCAAATACGTTAGCTGTAAACAAATAAACGGGACAAAGCTTGCGTACGGTGCACAATGGAGTCTCTTTCACGGACTATAAAACTGTATTAATACCTCTCTTATTTATCACTTATAATGTTCTCGAGTTAACGACGCCTCAGGCATTCAGTTTTTTCCATCATGCCTCATAAAATACGACATCTGGAAATATATTCCGCTATTATTTATTTTCGAACCAAGCGGTCAAGAACAATCATCGAACGTGTTTGATGTGTATTGATTTAATTCATTGTTTAAAAAAAGCATTGACGTCCTACAGAATCTAAATCGTATATTTGAATTTGAGTTTAACAAAATATAATAAAAATACGAAACAATCGCATTGCGGTATCGGTAACTTTCTTTGCGTCACCGATTAGTATTACTTTTTATAGGATAAGGTGACGAACAGCACACAGTCCACCTGATGGTAAGTGGTTGCTGTGGCCCATAGACATCTACATCTATCTCGATTACGAATTAAAATGCAGATGCGATGTCACCCGTGAGGACTAAGATGGAATGCCTCGTTTGCAGTAAAATAGGGTTTCCGGTTCTCTACACTCACCATACGGAACACAGCCGCGTTGAGCTGCTATTTCACGCTGGTATTCTGTGAGACGTGGTACTTCCCCAGTCGAGTCGACCCATTCGTGCCTAATATATCTAGTTACAGCGTGACTCTAACACATATATTAGATCATCTAAAAGACTAATTCTGATATGAAGTTCTTTAGTTTGTCCTTTGTGGCTTTGAACACTTCAAAGGCTAACATATAATTTCGCTTGATATAATAGAAAAATTAACATAAGTAGGCATTATCAGGACAGCTGACTCCTGTGTTGTGTTATTATTTCGATTCCATTATCGTTGTGTAAGCTTCAGTCGTTCAAAACCATAAAAGATATGAAACGCCAACTCAACAAAAGGGATTTGGAAAGTTGGTATAGGAGACAATTTGCCACACACCGTCACGCGAGCTTATCCGTGTCGGCCCCGTCGATTAGCATAAATCTCACCAACTAACCGTCACAAATGAGCGGCGGTCGCGGGGCGGGCGGGACGCGGCGATACGAGGCGCGAGTTAGCCGACGCGGCGATTGTGCGACTCGCACAATGCAGTGACGATGCGCGACAAATCGCGACCGCCGCCCGCCCGTATAAATCAGCATTATCTCGCGAGATAGCCGCGCTTGGACCCACCCCGCCATATCACGCCGAGCCCCGTGTCGTTTGAAAAAATTAATGACTCGGAAAAACGATTCGCTTATGAGGGATCTCTCAATGTAATTGAATTGCCCCGCAGAGGTCTGCCGAATTGTCGCGAGTACGTTATGCTGAGTCAGGTGTGTTAGGAAATCAAAGCCTTTTGTGATTTTACTTGCGGTCTTTTACGTTATCGTAATACAAAAAGTATTATTTTAAAAGTAAATTACTGTCTTGTGCTTTAAGCGAAAAATTCTCGATCACAAAAGATATCAAATTCGAACACATTAGCTGCTCTCACCCCTTAGAGATTACTGTAACAAGCGTAATAAAGTAATGCAAATATGTCTGTCCGTGGGTCGCCAGTTGCCATGCTAATCGGGAGCGGATCTAATTCGGTAAGCTTTGAATCTCTATGCAGAGCACTTTAAAGTGTATTTTGTCGCTTTCCATTTTTTATCCCCTGAGTACATATTATGATGTCTGTCGCGTGGACCTAAATCCAGCGGCTTTAATAGTAGCGCTATCCATCTGATGCTAATTTGTTTATCAAAGCTTAGCAGATGTTACATACACTATTTTTTACTTTAAATCTTGCGTTTAAAGCCCAGTAAGAAATAACAAAGATTTACTTCTAGATTATGCCTGGAGGCCATCTTTTCTAAATTAATTATAGGTACGTATATTAATTTTGTACGTATACGAATACGTGTGTGCTTATAATAATAGAAACCAAATATACTAGGCAAATATACACTTTGCGAAGAAGATCCTTTCATAACCCTTTCAGCTTTGCATTACTTTTCTATGAAATGAAGCAAAACTAGCAAGTGTGTCTTCAATAATTTTATTACAAACATGACATTTTTAAACACTATACAAACAAGAGAACGTAACTTCCAATATTTGGTTGATTACAATTTTCAACAACTAAGCTTAATTTAAATGGAGACCCGAACGCATATAATATCGAATACATTCGTATAAATTAGAATCATTTCATATCATTGGATTATTGTGAAGATATCTAGGGTCGCGATTGCTGCCAACACTTGATCATGGAGTTGGCCGGGAGCAGCCAATTTGATTTACATCTTGCTAGCATTCTCCTTAATATACACGGTTCGTCTACAAACGTGATAAATAGCTGTTTTTTAACTCTTCCATAAATATCTTATCTTTGTAGTTTTGACAAACTCGCATTGTTTATGTTCTATAGCAAAGGCATAATTCTTCTGCATTCAAAATTATGAGAACATTTCTTTTAGAGATACTTTGATGTTTCAATACATGTTGCGCCAATAAAATAATTTCTGGTGTATAGATTTGTTTAATTGATCATTTTATAGTTTTACAAATGGAAACACGAAGAGAGATAGTTACTGTCTTATTCGTAAAGAGAAGGTTATTTAAGTGCGATTATATTATTTTTAATTTTAAAAAAATATAAGGGAAGATTTTTCGTGGAATAATATTTTCATATTTTATATGATGTAATTTTTATAGAAAAACGTATAACATCAAATATTGACGAATATGTCTTCTTTAAAAGTGTTAAGTGCATCAAATATAGTTTTGGATTTCTACACAGTACCTACTACCTACAAATAAAGAAATATATAACCTTATCAATCCCGCCCTTTTATATGAGAGGCCATATACAACAGTGGACTAGTTATGGGCTGATTAGAATGGAGATGTTGTCTCCTGTATCCGATGCTGTCGTCTTCATCATTACACTATCGCAACAAGCTCAATGATTGTAATATTGTTTATATAAAAGAAAGAATTTGTGTATGTTAATTAAATCATATTTTCATAAATAGGTGGTAGATCTGTCTAAGAGTCCGTACCATCCTCAAACTTGTTTTTTGTCGCCAAAAGACCCATTCGTGCTACAAATATACCAGTAATATAACTGCAGCATGGCTCTATTATGTAAAAAACTTAAGCTTACCATATTAAGATGCACTATAATTTCGTTTATGGGGTATTTAAGTTTTATAAAAGAAAGCAATGGGTGAAATTGTTGTC